CTCCAGCACGCACTGCTGCAACTCATCCTATCCAGATAAGCTCACCGGGAAGCTACAGGTGGTGCACAGCACAATGACCTCTCTCTTAAATGGTAAACGCTGGAGAGAGCATATTACAGATGCGACACACCCCTGTACTGGAGCCCCAATCCCTGCCGCGCCCCTTCACGGCTCTGGAACTCACAAAGTATTAATGGAATAGGCCAACACTCAGAAGCCGCCCCGCTTTCTGAGATCTGCACCACAGCTACGATCCTCTGGAGAGCACCTCTAGCAGAGCCCAAGTGTGACCTCAAAGCGCTGAGAGGACAGTCTTCTCAACAGCTGACCCACGCCTCCAGAGCGCGCTTCCAAGGAACAGCCCTAAACCTAATATCTCCAGGTCACAATCCAGCACTCATCCTTTCTACCGTGGTTTTCCTCAAGGACCCAGAACAGAAGATGCCCCAGTAGCATGATCCAAGGAAGAAGCCCACCATTAACTAAACAGTAGGAGAGAGACTTGAGTGTCCATCTTCCGGACAGTTCCCACTGGTTTCTAGAATGAGCATGCAATGCCTTCCTACTGTGGTGGGTTGGTGGACAGTAAATAGAGAGAGGATAGGCAGATGATGGAAAGAGAGAATAACGCTCAGGCTTTGATTAATATAGTGTTAAAGTGGGTGAAGTAATTCTCATATGGTACAATTTATTAAAGTAATTTCCCCCACTTCCTACAAGTCCTTTTCTTCTGGATATCTTATGGTATCCCATTTCTGTGACCCAAGAAGAAAGAAGAGATCTGGCAGAAGGTACAGGGAGGAAGATCAGAGATGTTCGTACCATAGGATTTCCCATTAATGGAGCACTTGTTGAAAACCATGATGTTCTGAGTGAGAGTTCCTGTTTTGTCCGAGAAGATGTACTTGATTTGTCCCAACTCTTCATTGAGGGTGGTGGTGCGGGCCTGGGCTGGCGTATCATTCAGCGGGTAATACATTTTACGGTCCCAGTCAATGTAGAAGCTGTTGCCCAGGCGTATAATCTCTACACTGGGGACAAGGGAAAGAGAAGATGATGGAACATTCATTAGGTTAGGGAATAGGATCTTCTCTCTTCAGCTTTAGGGCCAGCAGCTGCAGTTAGGATAGGAATCCAAGCATCGTGGTGGGCTGGTGTATCCATCAGACTAATCTGAGATGGCTGCAGGTCACATGCATTTTAAAGCTGCTATGACAAGCACCATGAAAACAGCTGCTAGACCGAAGTCCAGGTTCCTTCTGGGTTTTTAGTACCATTTTAGAATAGATTTCAAAAGCTCCACAGCCACAAGCACTTCAGAGAGACTGAGATAGTGCTGCTTTCTCCTAACCTATGACCAGTCTATATGGGTGCTCGACGCTGTCTGTGTAAGCCAGGCACGGGGCACGGGTGGCCGAAAGTATGCCTGGCAAAAATACCCCCTGGGTGTGGGGCAAGAGGCAGCCAGCCCTCCCCAAACTGGGCAGTACTGACAGGGGAGAGGGTGTGGTTGAGTTAGTCCTTCCCGGGAGCAGGCTTTGCACTCCAGTGACAGAAACCCAGAGGGAGGGTGTGGTGTGAACGGTGCCCAGAGGTGAATCCCACCCCAGGACTCCAAAGGCCCTGTTAACCCTGCTGTGATTAACCAGCAGCACTGCACTCTGAGACCTGAAGCCTGTGTAGGCCACAGCTCCAAACTGAAGGGGAACGCAGCTGCATTGATCTGCTTCACTTTCTGCACATTGGGGTGCAGCGTTCAGGTTGAATGGGTTTAATGGGGTTCTCAGCTGGGCAAAGCTAGGATGCCCCACGAATTAGCATGCAGTGTGCAGGAGAGCCAGTAATGGTGGCCTTTCTGAAGAAGCTTGAACAAGGCAATCTGACCTTCAGAGCAAGTGAGCCCTTGTGTGATTTAATGTAATCAGAGAGATTTATTCGTAAGTAAGCAACTTGAATTTCAATTTCACTGTCACTGTGAACTACTGGACGGGAAAAGAATGAATTCTGTGCATGCTCTAAACACGCTCCAGAATGTAACTTCCAACCTCCTAATCCAGAGTGCCACCAATCACCCTCCCTAAGAGCCGCACTGAAAAACCAGCAGCCATCATTCAGCCCTGTGCTTAGTGCTTTGACAGCATAATCCCTCCCCACACCACCTCGAGGAATGTTATGCTAAATACTGAGAGGCAAATCCTGGTCCCACTGTAATAAATTGCAAAACTCTGAGAAGTGAGATGTAAACGGTAATAAATGAACACCTCTCCTTTGTCTCACTCTAGCAGCTCCTATCTGAGGAGCTCAACTTGCTTCCCAGAAGCGTCTCGCCCACCCATTCACCAACCATGTTTGGGCTTTTAGGGTGTAACTCTCCAGGGCAGCGACTGTCATTTACTCTGTGTTTGCACCGTGCCTAGCACAATGGATTCCCCAGAGTCCTCCAAGTGCTGTTGGAATACCAGTGGTACTAAGCTCGTTACTTACGCTTCAAAGCCACTGCTGTGAACTACGTATTATTCCTAGCTCCGCTTTCAGATGGTGAAAATGTGGCACCCCAGGTAACCAGCAGCAGAGCTGGCCACAGAACCCAGGACTTCTGATGCCTATTCCTGTCTTCTAAGCACAAGCCCATCCTAGATGGGGGCTCTTTTGGAAGGACACGCTTAGATGTCTGGGATCCCTGCTTAATCACCGATGGCCTTTGCTCCAGGTTTGCATAACTCGCACACCGCAGACGGCAGAACTCCGAGAGACACAATCTCGGGGGCTCCTCCTGGGGCAGCCAGCTCTGCCCAGCCTCTATGCAGGGCTGCGGCAGAATCCCACCCACCGAAGGGACATCTCTATGGTTTAGAGTTATTCTAATGACTCCGTTTCAGTCTCAAAGAACTAACATGGTGATTTTGGGGAGAGGCGGAAAGGGCTTGACTCAAGCACAGAAGGAACGCGTGGTGAAGTCCGTGCCCTTACAGAGGGCACTAATCAATACAGGCCCGTGGTGGGACCCAGTGGCCAACAGGTATCCTCACTAGATGGCAGCCGTATGCAGAGTTGATTTTGCTGAGTGCGCTCAGCTCTGTCATGCACTCATACAACCGGAAAGCACTGCTCTCTGCTAAGGTGAATATTAAAAAAACCTCTTTCAAGCAGGAACTGTAACACAAAGGGCAGTCACATACCTGACGTAGAGTGAAATCGGCACCACGGTGTTCAAAATGATCACGTAAGACCAGAACATGAGGAACCCAGAGTAGGGAGCTGAGGTTACGCCATCTGCCCAGGGCAGGTAGACTTGGAAGTAATAGCCCTTGTCGTGTTCCCAGATGCCGTTTCCAATGGCCAGGATGAAACACATCAGGGCTAAAAACGCAAAAATCTGCAACAAGAAGATATGCATTTCAGAAAACAAAGTGTCTTGTGTTCAGTGTGTATGGGCAGTGCCCTGATTACATGGTACAGTATGAATCAGAGACACAGCAGGGAAAGTTCTGCTGGTATTAAGTTACCTGGGCTAACTCCTGGCCAATGCAGGACTGACCATTTATTTCCCAGCTCAATCATAGACTTTCTGGTTGCCCACAGGAAAGTCACTTAATCCTTCTATGCCTAAATTACCCCATCTGTGAATTGGAAATAACACTTCCCTATCTCAGAGGGGAGCTGAGAAGGGCTCTGATCCTATGGGGATGGGCACCATATAAGAACCTAGTTAGAGAACCTCCAGGCTGCCTGATCCAAAGAAGCTCATAAGAACGGCCAGACTGGGTCAGACCAACGGTCCATCTAGCCACAGTAGCCTGTCTTCTGACAGTGGCCAGTGCCAGGTGCCCAAGAGGGAATGAACAGAACAGATAATCATCAAGTGATCCATCCCCTGTCGCCCATTCACAACATCCTCTAGCAAAGAGTTCCACAGGCTGACTGTGCGTTGTATGAAGAAATACTTCTTTTTGTTTGTTTTAAACCTGCTGCCTATTAAATTTCATTTGGTAACCCCTAGTTCTTCTGTTATGATGACCAAATAATACTTCCTTATTTATTTCTCCACACTAGTCATGTTTTTACAGACCTCTATCACATCCCCCCTTAGTCGTCTCTTTTCCAAGCTGAAAAATCCCAGTCTTATTAATCTCTCCTCATACGGAAGCTGTTCCACACTCCTGATAATTTTTGTTGCCCTTTTCTGAACCTTTTCCAATTCCAATATATCTTTTTTGAGATGGGGAAACCACATCTGCACGCAGTATTTAAGATGTGGGCGTAGCATGGATTTATATAGAGGCAACATGATATTTTCTGTCTTCTTATCTATTCCTTTCTTAATGATGCCTAACATTCTGTTCGCTTTTTTGACCTTCACTGCACATTGAGTGGATGTTTTCAGAGAACTATCCACAATGACTCCAAGATCTTTCTTGAGTGGTAACAGCTAATTTAGACCCCATCATTTTATATGTAGAGTTGGGATTATGTTTTCCAATGTGCAATATTTTGCATTTATCAACATTGAATTTCATCTGCCATTTTGTTGCCCAGTCACCCAGTTTTGTGAGATCCATTTGTAGCTCTTCGCAGTCTGCCTGGGACTCAACTATCTTAAGTAGTTTTGTATCATCTGCAAATTTTTCCACCTCACTGTTTACCCCTTTTTCTAGATCATTTATCTTTTCTCTCACTGCCCTTCACACCTCCTGATACAGCCCCACAGAGACCGAACACTGCAGAGCACATGGGATTATCTTTGATGTGCTGCAGTTCATCATGGAAAACACGGGTGACTCATTAATAGACTTTGTGGAAGCATTACAAGTGCTAAGGGACAGAAAGCAGCTAAACTTCCTAATATTACAGGTGCACTCATCTGACGGGTACAATTGCTACTTTGCCTCTGACACGATTGTCACCAATGTCCACATCCTCTGTACTTTAGATGTGTGTGCAATACACATGCTTAGGCAAGAGGTCACTAAATGCTTATTTACTTGGCCTCCCCTGGTCTGTCTCTATCCACCTGTTGTCTTATACTTAGATTGTAAGCTCCATCTTTTTGCTCTGTTTGTACAGCACCTAGCACAGTGGGGGTCCTGGTCCCTGACTAGGGCTCTGAGATGCTACAGGAATACAAATAACAACAGTGCTCAGTTTTCTTTGAGGGGAGTGAGCTGTTAGCAGAACATCAGTGCTAAGGTTTTTTCCTGCTCGGAGAGACGGAAAGAGGGGACTAATGCTGTAGTCTTAGTCACCGCTAACCAGCATGAACAACGCTGTATGGCATGCTGTGTTATTGCTGCAGCATATGGAAAACTAGGAAGTGTACAAATACAGGCCCAGCCAGCAAACACTTGCTCCCCAGAGCAGTGCTTCCCACCGACCTCGGGGTAGGAGAGCGGATGCCTGCTAGTCAATTCCTTGCAAGAGCGGGCCCAAGCTGTTCCTTAGGCAAGCTGATTTCCATGGGCTAACATTTAATGTCAGACTGTGCCCTCCAGCCATCTCCGTGGGTCCTGCACCCATCTTTGAAGCAAAAAGAGAAGGCCTGGGCAGCCAGCAGTGACAGCTCTATTTATCAGCAAGTGTCCTTTTCCTGAGTGTGCTAAGCACCGCCTCCCCTCTGCGGCACAAACACAGGCCTTGCATCAAGGGGACTTCCTTCTGCGGGACGGTGTGTCCTAGCCGCAGAACAGTCGCTTCTTTCTGAGCTCGCTAGGGAGTGAAGTCTTGCTCCTAGCCCGATTTCAACAGACAGCCTGCCGCAGATTCCCACAGAAGCAACCTTTCTAAACATGGAGAAAGGCAGGGGGTCAGTCTGGAGAGAGGGTTATTTCTGCCTGACCTACGTGAGAGGCAAAGGGACTGCATGTAAACTGGACAGCGTTTCAAGGCCGTTTAAAAATTAATTTGTCACTGGGAGAGTTACAGACAATTAAGCACGAACGAGCTTTTCCTGTGTTTACATTGTGCAAGCTTCATTTCACCTGAAGCGAGATATTTTTAGCTCTGTTTTTATTTAGGAAATGATGGCTTTTTGCATTCTTTTGGCTCAGTACGTTGGCAGTGCAACACACTGCCTCTGGTCACAATCCTGCCCGTTCACCTTTCGGATCCTCCTGGGAGAAAGGAGGCCCTGACCACATTCCCTTTCGAGCATGAAGGACCTGATTACTGGAGCAAAACTATCTGAGAGCAGGTGTGGGAAGGACCGAGCAGTACTTAGATACCCAAGTATTCGGCGTCTCACAAATGCCTAAGACCAGCAGATACCTGGCCCCATCAGCCAGGGAGAACACAAACAGAGGAGATGCCTTCAGCTGCAACTTGCTCAGTTCTCCAAAAACAGCAAGGAGCTAAACTACGCTTGTCTGCACTAACCCTAAAGTGGAGCAGAGAGCTGAGTGGATCTGAACATGGAAAGAAAGCTCTGTATGTGTGACACACGTAAATTCTGGGAGATGAGTGGTTAACTCTGAGCAAGGGCCAGATCCTGAGGTCCTCGGTGTCTGTCATCAACTCCACCTTTTTCCCTTTCCCCCTTCCTATGGGGTCCCCAGGTGCTCTGTCCCGGACCCTCTCCTCTTTTCCATCTAACGTCAGGAGGAGGAGACATCCCCTGCTGGCATGGGTTCTCTCACCCCACACGGCGCTTCTCCCACAGTCCCTCTGACCCTGCGTCTCGGACGGCCTGCTGCCACCGCTAACTCACCACAGCCCAGGAGTGAACTCTCGCCTTCCGACCTCCCCGTCCTCTCCCCTTTCTCCATTACCCTGATAACTCCTCCATTCCTGCCATTGCTCACCCCCGCCCCCAATTCTGGGGTCATCTTTAACTCCTTCCTTCTCCCCTCGCATCCAGGCCATGGCCAAATCCTGCTGCTTCTGCCACCTCCTCTTTTTACAACCCACCCACCCGCCCCCCGAACTACTAATCCACATGCTGTCAGCTCCCCTCTCCTCTAATGACAGCTCCTCCTCTTGGGCCTTTGTGAAACTCCGCCCAGAGTCACTCCAGTCCCTGCAGAATGATTCCTGTCATCCTGCTGCCTGGCACACTGACCTCGCCGCTTCACTGCTTCTCACTGCCAATGGCAGTATCGCCCCTGCCCATGCCTCTTTCTGTGTCCCCAGCCCCACTCTGCCAATGACGCAGCCTTGATCCTCCTTTCCTCCGTTCTTCCACACACGGCTCTGCACCTTCTACCAAGCCTGGAACAACCTCCCAAACACTAACCGGTGGGAAATCCCTAACACCCTACACCTGCCGTGGGACCTGTGGAAAGCAGCACATTCACACTTCAGAAACAGCTGACCAGACCTGGAACTACCAGGCTGGGGGCCTGTCATTGCCCTGGTCCTTTGGCTGGAACGTTGCATGTCTCCCCTTGTGATTCATTCAGTTTCTATTTTCTCAGATTGCAGACAAAGCTGCCCTACGTCTGTACAGTACCAAGCACGCTGCAGGATCTACTGTATTCTAATTAATCACCACTCTTCTTCTCATTGAAGCCAATGGCTAAATAAGGACTGAGTAAGGACCCCAGGATTGGACCCTGGTGAACAGTAAGAAAGAAGCCCCAGAAGAACAGGTTCCAGAACAGAGCCCTTGGAAGCCACAGGCAGCCTGATCCCTAGACGCTGTCCTACTGAAACAAAATGAGTCTGTGGAAAAACAGAAGGGCAAAGGCATTTAGACACTGAGGTAGTTACAAGGCAATGCGAGTATCCAACAGATTCAACAAGATGTGCTCATCTCCTGTGTCAAAGGTGGCCAAGAGACACTGCAACAGCACAGAAACGCGACCCCCATCGGCCGCCATCACTAC